ATAAAAAAATATAAATCTCTCTCTCGCTCTCTTTATATATATATATATATATATATATATATATATATAATTCTATAATTTTTTATACAGTATACGTACATTTTTTTATTATGTAATGTATACAGTACTAAGAAGAACCACAGTTGTTAAATGGTATTTATACTATATACTAATATGTATAAAAATAGTATTTATATAATAATATATATCTGTGTGTGTGTATAATTTCTTTTCATTCTTTTTTTCCTACTAAAATTATTATTATTTTTAAGTATGTATTAATAAATGTTAATAAATCTCTTCTTCATCCACAGGGTGGCGCTGATCAGAGGATGCCCATCATAGTGTCCCGTGTGGCTCCAGGAACTCCGGTAAGAGATCAGATGATGAGTGTTTTTATGTCAGGTGACATGAGTCTCATTAAAGTCACGAGGCGCTTCAGTAAACAGCAGCTCAGCCCGATGATTGATTCTTGATTTCATTCCCTCAGACGGGAATAATGAAGTCTGAAAGATTTGAAATTCAGGTTGTTATTTAAACAGACTGAATTAAATGTTGCTTTTCGACTTTTGCTGTGATTTCTGTGGCCCTCACCTATCATCTGTGACCTTTGACCTCTGTCAGGCTGATATGTGTATGCCGCGCCTCAACGAGCGCGACCAGGTGGTGCTGCTTACATGTTGCTTTTCGACTTTTGCTGTGATTTCTGTGGCCCTCACCTATCATCTGTGACCTTTGACCTCTTGTCAGGCTGATATGTGTATGCCGCGCCTCAACGAGGGCGACCAGGTGGTGCTGATTAACGGTCGTGATATCTCAGAGCACATTCACGATGACGTGGTTATGCTAATTAAGGCCAGCTGTGAGGACCAATCAGGAGAGCTCATCCTGCTCGTCAGGCCCAATGGTACGATCCGTCCGGACGGGCCTCCAAATTTGAATTTTAGTAGTTTAAATTATATGTGAAATCTAAAATACACTTACTTTCTTTCCTTCCTTTTCCGTCAGCCATCTATGACGTGGATGAGGAGCAGGAGAAGTTGGATCTGGAGCCAGATTTCCAGTATATTCCGGAGACATCCGGTCTGGAGCTGAGCCACTCAGAGGCCGATAGTTTGAGATACTCCATTCAGCTGCTGAGAGATGGGCTGTCCAGCGGTACTGTGGCTGCACAGTTTGATGTAAGTTAGACAACATATACTAATAAATTATTTTGTATCATAATTATATATATATACAGTGGGTACGGAAAGTATTCAGACCCCCTTAAATTTTTCACTCTCTTACAGGTTTGGAACGACATGAGAGTGAGTAATAATGACATAATTTTCATTTTTGGGTGAACTATCCCTTTAACAAAAAATATTTTAAGAAATATTAGACAATTAAACATAAATTATGAAAATTTTTCTAAATAAATATTTTGTTTTTCTAAATTATATTTTCATATATTAACTAAATAAATCAACATTTGGTGATTTTGTTTAATAAAAGTTTCATACAAATTTAATACAAGTTTCAAAATGTCATAATTAATATAAATTACAAATAAATTACATTGCTGGTCTTATGTGTCAGATTGATTGCTACATATATTCTAAAAAAAGTTTATTTTAATATATTATTTTATATTTATTATAATTATTATATTTATTTAGTCACTGTAGATCCAATATTAAGATATCAATTTTTTTTAACAATGGTGTTTTAAGAAATATTAGAAAAGTATACAGAAATTGCGCAAATTTTAAAGTATTTTGTTTTTATGTATCATATTTTCATTATATTGATTTTTATAAACTGTTATATATTTATTATAATGTTATAATATATGTATAATATTATATCTATATGTATTTAGTCACTGTAGATTCCTTTTAATGATTTAATAAATAATATTTTAAGACATATTAGGAAATTAAACAGAAATTATGAAATATTTTCTAAAAAAATATTTTTATATTTTTTTTATTAACTATAAATAGTCAAAACAATTGATTTTGTTAAATACATTTAATAAGTTACAAAATGTCATAAATTAATATAATAAATTGCATTGCTGGTCTTATGTTTCAGATTCATTGCAACATGTATTGTAAATGCATTTATATAAATTGCCAATTGTGTGTGTGTTGTGTATATGTATATGTATATGTGTGTGTGTGTATCAAATCATTTTGATTTTCATTTCTGATTGTGCTGCTATCTACATCTAGAAATCTTATGTTGCACTGGGTTGTCGGCTGCATTACATTTTAGTTACATAATTTCCTGTTGCTCGTTTCAGACTGTCTCAATTACTTCCTGTTTGCTGAGCTTGCTGTTTTAATGTCATGAACTTGTACTAATCGCAAGCTTAATTTAGCCTGTTTATTAACAATCATAATGAAAATAATCGCTATGAAAATGAAACTGCTAATATTGCACAGTAACCCAGTAAAAAGTCATGTTATTTTTGTTTAAAACATAGGCAGAAATTGTATTTTGTTAACTTGAACATTTATTTTTTTTACAGCAACTGTACAGGAAACGTCCTGGGATGTCCATGTCATGTGCCAGATTGCCACAAAATGTCTCCAAAAACCGCTATCGGGACATTTCACCATGTGAGTAAACACAGCTTGTTTTTGTTTTGGACTCAGAAATGTTTTCATGATTAGCTGGATGCTCATACCGGTTTATTTTGTGACAGATGACACCACTCGAGTTGTGTTGAAGGGGACTGAAGATTATATCAATGCAAATTTCATTCATGTGAGCATTCTTCGTTGATTATGGTTATTTAAAAGTTATTTTGTCAATGTTTTGTTCTTAGAAAATTGTCATCTGTATATATTTATGTGTTTTCAGATGGAAATCCCAGGTAAAGGTGAAGTAAAGCGGTATATCGCCTGTCAAGGGCCTCTTCCTGGGACCTGCTCTGACTTCTGGCAGATGGTGTGGGAACAGAGCGCCGCCCTAGTGGTCATGCTCACGACACAAGTTGAACGTGGCAGGGTATGAAGATATTTCAATAAATAGAAATGATTCACCGACAAAGGTGGTAAAAAATTATATTTATTTATTAAGCTGTGTTATTTTGTGATTTTAAAATTTAACATTTTAATAATTCAGTAAATGACAAATTAACTACTTTGCTGGACTTGTGTGTCAGATTTATTGCTACATATTGTCACGGATGCCTACTGCGGTAGAGCGAGGAACGAAGAGACGAGGGAATAACAATAATAATAGTCTTTAATAATCCAAAGGAACCAGGAACAAGCACGTAGCAACGGGGAACTGACGTTCAAGACTCGACACAGAAACATAGGGCAGAACACTTTAAATACACAACACAAATGAGGGAATGACAGGTGAGGGGATCAACTAATAATGAGACACACCTGGGAGCAATGAACACAATCAAACACAAGGGAAAACTAGGTCACGGAGCACATGGATGTGTGATTTAAACTATGCTAATTTCTTAAATATATACATGTATGTGTGTATATTTAAATATACATATAAATATACAGTAAATAAACATATGTAAACTAATTTTACACATTTTATTTTGAATGTGATTAATCGCGATTGATATATATTGATATAATGGATTGATATAATGGATATACATGCCATTAATATCTGTAAAATAAGAAACTTAGCCAATTTTTGTTTAAATGAAGGATTCATGAATTGAGTTCTCATTATGGTAATTCATGACAGCGTTGATAAAGCACAACGTCCTCACACCTTCAGCACTCATACATCCCTATAGAAGAGCTTTACTATCACTGAACGTCACTGGGAACCAGGCACTTCTCTCTGTACTCTAGCAACACCTGAACATTTTGGATGCTGTTAGATCCGAAATGATTGAATTGGTCTCATGAGACCAGAGTATGGATTCCCAGAAGTCTATATTTTGTAAATATGGGCTCTGGAAGAGGTTAAATGAGTTTATTGTGCTTTAGCTACAGTCGGTAGTTCTGGTGTGGATAAACAACCATGCATGTCACTTCTGCATGCTGCATCATACTCTGTGAGACAAAGCGTCACTCTTTTCATAGCTTTTATCGGCTCTGAGATAGGCTTGCCGCGATGGACAGTGCTGACGGTGATACCGGTGTTAAGCCGCAACACCGGTTACGTCACTTGCCCACCGCGTCACCGACCC